ATAGAGACTTTTGCTTGCATATGCTCTATTTTTTTCTTTCTTTTTAAGTTTTTCTGTGGTCTGGAAATCTGGCTCACGCTCGCTGCTTCAAACAGAACTTCCTCATGTGAAAGCGAACAATTCTTGGACACACTGTGCAGAACTCTCAGTCCTATCCTGCTGTTAGACCCAGGGTCAGCAACCGCTGCCTTGCGTTGGTTCACCTCAGCCCTCATCTATCTGAAGAGAATTTGAGGCACTGTGGGGTATAGTAGTGTAGCTAACAGATTCACTATGGTTGCTACTGAATCTGGGGTTTTGGGGTTTTTTTAGAAAGAAAAAAATATCACATTGTTTTGAAAAACATGTTTTAAAAATAATTTTATAGAGTGCAGATTTTGTAAGCGATCATGTTAATTGTTGGGAGGGGGTTCCCAACCTTGTTAATGTCCCCTTAGCATTAGGCTTTTGTTCCCCAGCTTTGAAAATGTCATTTTCTCCCCCAGACTGCATTTCTAGGGGTATAATTGCTGTCTCCATGTAAAAGACAACTCATGTGCATAAATTTCCACTCACTGCAGCCGACTTGCCTCCCCTCATTTTAATGCAGATGTGATCCAGTGGGTAGAGTTACACTTACTTCCCCAAGCAAATGAAACAGATTACACATTAAATATTGTCTTTGGAACCAGGTGCACCGAAACAGCCAATTACCTAGACAGCTCATCAAGTCCTGATGTGTTTACCACATTGTTTTTTGTTTTCTCTTTAAACATTTGGCAAATTATTCCAAGGCTTTCATTTCTCTGTAATGAACAGAATATGCTTATTAATAAAGGCCCCTTTTGTGTGATTCACCAACAGTTGACTCACAAAAGCCTTTAACACTGTGTTTGAAAGTTTCTGAACTGATCTTAAGCTCCTGGGAAGACAAATGAGTGGTGTAAAGTGATTTGGTGAGAGGGGCAAGGAGTTTGTGAAGCCCAGAGATGGATGGGGATACCGCAGTTCCTCCTCTAGGCTTGTCTGATTGTTCAGTATCTGCACGGATCTATCAGGTTTTGGTCACTGCTCATTATGCCAGCCTGAATTTTTATGCGTATTATTATTTCTTTCGGGATTTAATTAGCCTGAAATGCAGATGAACTCAAGAGCTCTTTTAAGACCTGTTTCTGTTATTCCAAGAGACTTTTACCACTTCCTGAGGGGGGCTGTTTTAGATTTCCACAAAGTCATTAACCTTCCAAAGAATGTGAATAATAAATAGAGCGGTTGCCCCAAAGATGTAATTGGTGCAAATGGTTTGGAAGCTTGGAGGCAGGGCCTTGTGGCAGGGACCTCTGACTGCAGACTTGGGAGGCCAGCTGGGGAGCAGGGGAACGTCCCTGGAAAACACCTCAGAAAGACTTGCAGGGAAATGCTTGCAGATTTGGCATCTGCTGGCTGAGCTGCTCAGCAGAGTAGGACTAGTTGAGTATGCACCAAGCCCTTCAACCACTTATCCTTCTAGCTTTCTCTAGAAAGTCAGGGGAGCTCTAAGTGACACACAGGACAGAAAAAAATCCTATGTGGACAGGAGTGGGGGTAAGGAGCTGTGTGTAAACCATTTTTTCTTTTTCACAAAGCAATTTGAGACACTTTAGAGAAGATACATCTTATAGACGTGGAAGTAGGCCAGGTGTGGTGGCATGTACCTCTAATCCCAGCACTTAGGAGGCTGAAGCAGGAGGATTGCTGGAAGTTTGAGGCATCTGGGCTACATAGTGAGACCTTGTGGAAATAAAACTATGTCAGTTCATCCAGAATATTGGGCTGGCCAGATAGCTCAGCGGACTAAAACTCCTGCTTAGTCAGATGCAGGAACAGGGGTTTGATCCCGACATGCCGTGCTGCTCCCACCCTGGGACAGTGCGCTTGCTCTGATACAGTGATTGGCACTGGGCATGATGGAGTGCCCCTGTAATCCCAGCGCTTGGGGTGCTGAAAATAGGAGAATCGCTACGAGTCCGATCTATGTAGTGAGACCCTATAGACCCTGTAGTAAATACATAAAAACAAAAAAGAATATTGTGCAATTTGGTTCTAGGAATATTTCCTACCCATAACCTCACCTAAATGTAAAACGTGGTATGTTTAAAGGTTTCACTGCAGCACTATAGAAATAAGCAAAAGAATGAAAATAATGTAAGTGCTAGCGATAGCATACTAAGTAAATTGGAATACAACTGCAGAATGGAATACTATAAAGCTTTTCATTTATTTTATTTTACTTTTTATGTATTTGGTACAGGGTCTCACTTCACAGCTTGGACTCAGTGATCTTCCACTTTCCTCCTGAGGGAGCACAGGATCTCAAATGCAGGAACATATCTAACCTGCAGTGGGATGGTAAAGGCCTGGGATGTTTTTAGTAAATGCCAATGTTTATTTTTGCTTACTCTTCTGATTAATATTACTGCTACCTTTCTTTTCTTTTTTTTTTTCTGGGACCGGGGATTGAACTCAGGCCCTTGCACTTGCCAGGCAAGCGCTTATTCCACTGAGCTATCTCCCCAGCCCCACTGCTACCTTTCTTAGGAATGACAGAGTATTAAGGAGGAGTATGCTAGTGGGAGACACGGAAGAGACTGCGAAAACCTTCTTAGCCCCAGAGAAGTGTGTTGAAGGAATCAGTGTAATTCCTAGAAGCCGTGAGGCACTGCACGCTCTTCTCTGCAACACTGCTGCAGTAGCCCTCTCCTGAGGTTCAGGTGATCCGCCTCTGTCTCCACCTTCCAACCTGGACAGCAAAGAGGCAGACTGGTCCGACGTGGTGCAGGCACCTGACTGGGTCAGAGTCCAGTGTGTGAAAAGTGGCAGCCCAGACAGGTACAACATCGCTAGCACGGGGAGCAGCAGATGCCAGCGGAGCAGCAGGGGAGCAGGACAACCCTGCAGCTCCCAACGGCAGGCATGTTTGTAGTATTTGTGTTAAAGGAAAAAAAAATCAGAGTTGGGGGTAGGTGGAAGCAGAAGTATTTTGTACACTAGCTACAGGATCACAGACAGCAGCTTGTATGGATTTTCCCTGGACGTAGAGTGAGGGAAGATGGTATTTTTTTCAGGAATATAAGAAAATGTAGTTTTTGAGCCCAGGTGTGCATGCCTATAATCCTAGCTAGGCAGGAGGCTGGGACAGGAGGATCCCAAGTTTGAGGCCTGCCTGGGTGGGAGGCCTGTTTTAAACTGTGTGAAAAGGGTTGGATGGTAATTGCTTGCCTACCGTGCTTGAGAACCTGCAGTCCAATTGCTGGTGCTGCAAAGAAAAACAATAGGTCGTAAGATTTGGTTTAAAAGCTGAGCTGATGACCTGTGAACACAAGACAGCAGAAAGACAAGTGAACACGAGCTCCCGGATCTCCAGGAGTCCAAAGATGGACGCCAAGCGACCCTAAGCCCCAAGAGTTCTATAAATGTTTGCTGTGCTTGAAACGATACATTATTTTTCCAGAGAACTCCATAGCTTTTCGCTAGATTTTTGAAGAGGGCTGTGATCCAGAAAGGAGTGTAAACCCCTGCCAAGTGCTAGGACACACGGATTATGCTTAATCTGACACTGGGAACTCGAGGCCTATACAATAAAACGTTGCAAAAAATATAAGGAATGGTGCAGTGCCTGCCCGGCAAGTGCAAGATCTTGAGTTCAATTCCCAGTACAAAGAGAAAAAACCAGGTGTAGTGGTACATGTCTACAGTTCCAGCATTCTGAGGCTGAGGCTGAAGCAGGAGGATCACTGTGAGTTCAAGAAAAGCCTGGCCTATATGAGTTCAAGGCCAACCTCAGCTACATAGCTCAACCTTGTCTCAAAAAAATCCTAACCAAATGCAAAGCAAAAAACAACATAAAAAACATAAGAAAAAAATAAATAAAATAAAATAAAGAACCATTGCTCTGCTCTGACTGCTTTCAAATCAGCCCTTCCTGCACTTATTTTAGTAATAAGCACATTTATTATTTCTTGAGTACTCTTTATTAAACTTTTGAAACTTAACTACCTACTTTAGCTGCATCTGAAAAACACCTGCCAAAGCAGAGGTTTATCATGCTGTTGGCAGGTTCCTCTTCTCTAATGGAAATTGGCAAATATTTATTCATATTAAAATTGAAAGGGTTTCATACCATTTTCATAATCTTTTAGTGTGTACACAGAGAGGTGAGCTTCTAGCACCCAGGAAAACATTTTCTTTCCTTTTTTTTTTTTGACAGTACTATTTCTTTTGTGTGTGTGTGTGTGTGTGTGTGTGTGTGTGTGTGTGTATAACCAGGGATTGAACTCAGGCCCTTGTGCTTGCCAGGGAAGCACTTATTCCTCTGAGCCCTCTCCCTGGCCCGACAATTCAATTTCTAAAATTCATACCAGGATCCATTTTAGTGGCATGAGACTCTTAAGGGAATTTACTAGAATCTAAACAAACGTGGAAGAACTCTTAAGTCAGGCCCTGGGTGAGGCTGTCTCTAGTGGCTGTGCTGTCCAACTCAGGAGACAGCTTAAATAGATTTTTAAAAAATATTTATTTATTTGTTTGTTTGTTTGATACAGGGTCTCGTTACACGTTCAAGCTAGTAGTGATTTTCCTGTGTCAACCTCTTCTGCACTGGGATTACAGGCTCTTGCCACCACGCCAGGTTTCAAGGCCCGGCCTAGAGTGCCCAGGTTCCAGGTCCAGGACAGCATATGATACTGGGGATTGAACTCCCATGCTTGTGCTTGCCAGGCAGGCGCTTAGACCTCCGAGCTGTCTCCCCACCCCTATAGAGATTTTTAAATGCAATTTCTTGCATCTCAACACTACTACATAAAGAGATTTAGTCAGACTACAAACTTGATCGATTTAATACTCTGGTAATGATCCCAGCAATGGTAATGATCCCAGCAACTCAGGAAGGGGGGTGGGAAGCCAGTGAGTTTTTCTGTTCAAATTCCATCTCATTTTTTATTTTCTCTTAATTTTTTTTTTTTTTTTTTTTTTTGAATCCCAAGTTCCAAAACCTGTCCCCTATTATGCAGTGCAAACGAGAACAGATGGGGAAAAGTTATGTTGGAAAGGGCTTTGGAGGGCCACGGAGAAGAGAAATATGACTACTCAATGTGTCACACACCAACTTGCAGCTGCCACCAGCGAGGCTTCCACACAAGAGCTGCCTGCGGAAGCGGCCCCGGCTCGGAGGAGCAGGAGCTGCGGGAAAGGAGCGCAATTAGAGAACAGTAGCTGTGCCTGTGTTTCCCTGAAAATAGGAAGAAAGAGTGGAGCAGCGGCACAGCCAACAAAAGAGAAACCCCAAGGCCGGCCTGGAGATGCGCAGCCACTGCGAACCAGCGAAAGCGAGCCAGTAATTGGCTTCATCCAGACCTTTACCATCAAAGAAATGCCTCAGCAGGTCTCAAAGCCACCACGAGGGCCTCCTTTCTGTTCAAGAATTGCGACTTAGGAAAGGTCACAGCAGCCTGCATGCGCGCTGGGCCTTGCGACTGGAGTGTCAGGGCTTGCGGCTCCCTCAGCGCCCCAAGTGCTGGCGGCTGAGCTGCTTTCAAGCTGCCTCTCTGCCGGCCACCAGGGTCGAGTCATCCGGCAAGTCACCCTTCTTCCCCCGAGGTCCACAATGCGCCACTCGTGGCCAGGCACGTGCAACCAGGTGTAAGGGTTTTGCTCCGTGAGCTAGGTGCTGCGCAGACCGCAGGAGCGCCCACTGGTTACAGCAGCTTTGGTCGGGGTGCGGTGGGAGAGCAGAGACAGCCTCTTTGTTGAACCCAATGTGAAGATCTATGGTTATACATATTTATGTAAATTCCTACATATTCTTAGCGTGGAAGGCCAGAGACTCTATGCTAAAAACAATTACAAAGCTAACAATGTTTCAGGGTGCAGGAGTATTGCTCAGTCGTGGCACCCACACCTAAAATGCAGGAGGCGTTAGTTCAATCCTCAGCGACAAGCTCCTACACGCAAAAGGTTAACATGATTTAAATTATTTGATCCAAAGCCTCGTTAAGGCCATACAGATGGCTGGGTGTGGTGGCACAGGCCTGTAATCCCAGCACTCGGGAAATTGAGTTGCGGAGAGTTTGAGGCCAGTCTGGACTACTTAGTAAGTCCAATGCCAGCTTGAACTGTCTCCCAAAAAATAAATAAATGAATAAATAAATGCCATTCAGATGGTATCTGTTAAGAACTCTTAAGGTAAACATTGGTATTACTGAGTTCCATAGAAGCTTTCTCTGAAATTGCATTCATCTTTTCCTTTCTCTTTCTTTTCTTTGTAATTTGAGACAGGGTTTTACTATGTAGTTCAGGCTGGCCTCAAACTCCAGCAATCTTTCTGCCTCAGCTTCCTGAGTGCTAGGATTACAGACATGTGCCTGGGATTGCAGACATTTGCCGCCATGCTTGCCTTTGTTTTTGTATCCATGTTTGTAGAGTATGCAAAGACCTTGAATCCAAGGATTTCCCTCCCCCCATGGTAGCATGGAGATTACTTAGATAGAAATCTTTTCTATTTGCATTTTACAAATTATTTTTAACTTATACACAAAAACATAAAAATTGGGGCCGGGGAGATGGCTCAGTAATATAAGTGCTTCCCTGACAAGCACAAGAGCCTGAGTTCAATCCCTGGTTCCTCAAAAAAAAAAAAACCATAAAATTTGTACACATTTATGGAGTACTATGGGAACTTTATTTATTTTTGAGGAACTGTGGGCATAGCTCAGTGGCATAAGCGCTTGCCTGGTAAACACAAGGTCCTGAGTTTGATCTCTAGTACCAAAAAAACCCCCCCCCAAACCCCGCAACACCTATTTATTTTTGAGACGGTCTTGCTATGTACACAGGTTAGCTCTGACCTTGTAGTGATTTTCCTGCCTCAGCCTCCCAAGGGTGAGGATTATAGGTGTGTGCCACCACACCCAGAAATTAACACATGCATGTGCATCTTGAATGTTTAGACGAGATGAAGCATAACATTGTTCTCCTCAGAACTTTCTTCCTTCTTTTTTGTTATGCTCTGTCTTTCTTTCCACCATGGTGTTGGGGACTGAACCAGGACCTATGTGCTGAATTATATTCCCAGATCTGTTTATTTTTTGTTTTGAGATAGGTCTTGCTAAATTACTAAATTGCCTGGGCTGGGCTTGAACTTGTGACCCTCCAGCCTGGGCCGTCTGAGTAGCTGTGCTTACAGGCACACGCCACTATCGCCCTCAATGCCTGCTGCTTCTGAAGCACACTGAAGTTTGCAGGCTACTTACTTCCTGGAGGCATGGGAGTGATGATCATTTTAATTGCAAGTGGCTTGTTGGTGCCTCCCCTCTTTTACCCTAGAGGGCCAGGCCTGAACATGCGGCAATTACGAGTGTGGCAAAGAGGTTGGAACTGCTGGTCCAGCTCCCCTCTTCCCTGCCCTAGCAGCCTCTGGCCTCTTGTTTGGCACAGCATTTAGTTAAGGCTGGAGACATCAGCTTGGTGATAGTTTGTCCTAAGAGAGTGGCAGTGCATCCCAGTATACCAGCACAGTTCTTCAGAGGCTCCTTTCAGCCCAAAGTGTCCCCGTTTGGATGGTAATTTCCATCATTACCCTAGGCCTAGAGGAAATTTTATTAGTGCACAAAGGACATGAGCGAGGTCTGGTGAGGCTTCTAAGATTCACTAGGACAGGGAAGCTGTGCTAAACACCACTGAGCACAGCCAAAGGCACTTTTGGGCTAATGTGACATGAGGTTGTCTGAGAGAATTATGCTCTTTCCATTAATTCATAAATTGGTATCAGGGAAAACAGGGCCTGGTGGGAATCACGTACAATCTGGGCACCATACGTAACCTTTATTATTTTTTTTTTCCTGATCATTGGCTGTCACCTTGGGTGAGTTACACAGTGTCTCTCCACTTCACTTTCCTCATACAAAATGTTAATGAGGTCCACTTTAGTTTGAAGGTGTTAAGTGAAATACATCCAGTGCCTGGATCTGTGCCTCAGGGCCCAATAGTGGTGGCTCTCCCATGAGTCCTCAGGGCCACTGTACACTATAGATAGACCAAGGGCAGGTGAGTTTTGGTTTTGGAGACATGGTCTCACTTTGCATAGAGATCCCCAGCTAATCTTAAAGCTCATGACCATCTTGCCTCAACCTCTAGAGTGCTGGGTTATGAGTGTGGGTCACCATGCCTAGTTTGTCATGTAACTTTAGAAATAATCTTTACAAGAGGTTCCATGAGGCTGCTGTGGAAACAGGAAAGGATTTGGGTTCAAAAGACAATTTCCCAGTCATGCGTGGCAGTGCACATCTGGATTCCCAGACCCTGAGAAGCCAAGACAAGAGTGTCACAAGCTCATACCCAGCCTGGGCAATTTTGCTACTCATAAAATCCTGTCTCAAAATAAAAAATAAAAATAAAAAGATCTGGGTGTTGTAGTTCAGTGGAAAGTCCCTGAGTTCAATCCTGAATATGAGAGAGAGAGACAGAGAGACAGAGAGATAGAGACAGACAGAGAGACAGAGAGGGCTTCTGTCTATCAACAAACTTAAAATCATAAACTCCTTTGTGAATAGAAAAGCAAATGAAGAACTAAAGGGACAAGTAGTGATTAAAGACTGACCAGGAAGGGAGTAATTATTACCCTAGGTGCTGAAGTAAACATAAAACATGAAAGTAGTTGGGCTTGGTGGCACATGCCTATAATTGTAGAACTCTGGGAGGCTGAGGCAGGAAGATCGCAAGCCCAGGTTGGTCAAGTTAGGAGCAAGATCATTTATCAAAATAATATTTTGAAAAATAGGTCTGGTGATATGGCTCAGTGTAAAGTACGAGAGAGAGAGAGAGAGAGAGAGAGAGAGAGAGAGAGAGAGAGAGAGAGATAACATGAATGAGAGGAAAAGAATGAGGGAAGAAGGGGAAGAAGATAAAAGGAAAGAGGAAAAGAAGGAAAGAAAGGAAGAGGGGAGGAGTAAAGAAGGAGGAGAGGAAGGCAGAAAAGGAAGAAAAGAAAGATGATGAGCTGTGAAACCACCCAGCAGATTAGAATGTGCCTGAGCTCTCTCTGGGGTCCTGCTAGCTTTGTGAGTGTGTGGGTGTCTCTGGAAGTGACTGCTGTCCGTGCTAACTGCTGCCTCTCAGCCATCCAGACTGCCACGGGGGTGGGCGGGATGGAGAAATACTATTCTATTAAAACTAAGAGCTCTGAAGTGGAGACAAACACAATCTGGTAGTATTACAGAGGCATTATTCACCCTGATGACTCACTCTCTGGCTCCCACACAGCCAAGGCAAGGAGTCACATTAATGACCTTGAAGACGTTGGCTGAGAATAGACTCAGCCTTACGCCTTATTTTGCAGAGGAACATGTATATGTGTGGGGGAGAGAACAGGGGACTGCATGTTAAGGAGTAAGAATGTATGGTGAACAATGCTAAAAAGCTGGACAAAACATATTAACATTTAAATGGCTAACTCAACTAAGTAACAAGTATTTGCAATGAAATTACCACTCTGTGAGTAGGTCTCTTGCTCAAAGCATTGATAGCGTAGTTCAATGTAGGAACATGTAAAATAATTATTCGGATCCAAGAGGTGAAATGGAATCCAGCCCCTATTTCTGGAATCAGAGGGCTCTCTCTTCATTTTCATTCACCAAGAATCTTCATGAATCCAGTTTCCTGAAAGTAATATTTTCTATTCCCAGCCATATACTGCTCTATGTTCACAGCCTTACAGACAAAAACCAAACAGAAGCAGTCCACAGGCCTTTGACAACATGCAAGGGAAAGCAAACAGTAATAAAAGGCTGCATCAGAACTACAGAAGTGCACCCAGCTGTCTGGAGAGCAGACCTGTGGTCTTAAACCAAATGGGCTCTATGCTCTAGCAAAAATGAAACCCAGCCATAGTTACAGGTTCATACAGATAGTTCTTGGGACTGTGTACTAACATCCAAAGAAAGATAAAGGAAAACTAGGACGTCATGCAAAGCTAATTAGAAGAGAGAACTTCAGGAGTTGTACACTGAGCAGCCAGGATAGAAATGCTTCCCAAACAAAATGAATTTGCTTGGGCCGGGGAGATGGCTCAGTGGAATAAGCGCTTCCCTGGCAAGCGCAAAGGCCTGAGTTCAATCCCCGGTTCTGCACAAAAAAAAAAAAAAAAAGAAGAATTTGCCACATAGAAAAACCAGGAGATGGTAGTAGATGGAGCACAGTATTTGAAGAATTTCTTGTTTGTATGGAAAAAAAAAAAAGAGAGAGAGATTGGGAGGTTGTCAAGGACAGCTTGAAGATAGTATACCTGCTCTGTTGGGTGGTGTGGCTTGGTGGGTGGAATGCTAGCCCCGCATGCACAGGGATTGGGTTCAATTCCCAGTGCCATCACCACCACACATAGAAAGTAAACTTGAGACAAACAAGTCTCAGGTGGTTTGCTCCTCGTGTAAATGCCCAAATGTTCTATGGATATGTTTTGGGTTACATTTGTCCTTCAAGGCAGTTATTATCTTTAAAGTTCTCATTTTGCATGGGTGTGTATAATGGTTTGCTCAGAATTCATAGCTATAATCAAAACCAGCAAAACCTATTATGACCTTTTCTCTGCAATTGTGAGGAGCCCAACTCAAAATACCCAAAAGAAAAGTAAGAGTTTGTTGCATGAAAATTCATTTTTCCCAGCTCTGGAGAAGCAGTATGTAGGTGGGTCTCGTAATCAACTGGAGCCACACGTAAATACCACCGGTGCACTCTGTGCTTCACCCCTGTTTTTCCAGTTGGCTTCATTCTTTCCTCACCAGCTGGCTGTGGTCAGAGCTCATGGGTGTGTAAGAAACATAAATACCAACAAGGCACAAGTTCATGTTTCCTCCATTCCAAGCAGGGACAGACTGAGCATGTATCTCCAGTCTGGTTCCACATTGGGAGAAAGTACTAAGATTAGCCAAGTTTGGGTCAGAGGCCCCGCTCTGTAACCACAGGATGGCACTGTATTGACTCCTATCATATTTATGTTTGTATAGATATGATAGGACAATTCCTAAGAAAATATGGTGCATCTAGAAGAGTGGTATTTGGCTGT